GAGATGTCTCGATTCCCTTAATCGAACTACATTCAATTCATCGAAGGTCCTAAAGTGTTAAACACATTAAAACTATTGAAATTTTTCATAACAACAAAAGAAAAATACTTCTACGATCTTCTATAAATTGAATGTCGTTCGATGAAGGAAGTCGAGACATCTTATTTTGCTCAGAATTATTCGTTCTGTCATATAAAGCCATTTTCAAAAAGGTTCAAATGGATGCCAAAAAAATGATTTTCGAAGTCTTGGTTTTTCAGACATTCTCATCTAGCAGTTTTATTGGAGTTTTTAGGTCCATCAATCCTAGTAGAGAATCCTTTTAGTTACTCAAATGCTTTTTCAAATTCTTCCTAACTATTACCATCGAGAAGAAAACTCAAAAATACAACGACTCTAAACTTTTGTTTGTCACTATAGATATATATATTTCGAAATGTATAAAAAATAATTTGCTTTCACTATGTTTGTTTCCTCTGTAGACATCAGAGATTGAAATAATTATACAGAATAAATCGACTATTATTGAAACACATCAATTACAATCGATTATTGCTCAATTTTTCTTACCAAATTTAACAAATAGAATAACTGCACCGAGTAATTTTCAAAATCAATTTTGTAAAATAAAAAAAAAGGAATTTTTGATTAATGATTCTTTTTAACTTCATTAGTTGGTCAACAACCTAATAATTCACTACGACAAATACCCGACATGAAGATGAATCCTGTATATGATTTTCTTAGTACAATAACAGAAACATGCAATCGAGGTATTCATAGATAAATTTTAACAATAATTTCAATTCTATGAATACTTTTATTTCTCTAGTTGTACATGGTAAAGGAGAAAATAATGCAACATTAGATGAACAAACGAAAAATGATATATACATCCATAAATTTGATTTAAAAATGGCTGAACGAGAAGTTATGAGAAAAACATTAAATATCAATGAAGACGATGCATTAACATTTGAACAACAACAAAGATATAATCAAGAAATGACAGAAGTGATGAAAAAACGGATTCATCATCGCTATGCTAATGAACTCAAATGATTATTAAAGAATAATTAAAAAAGAAACTGACTTTTCCAATGTGTTTGTGTAATTTTATTTTTATTTAAGCGCCTTTTTTTTTGAATGATATAAGAATTCCTAGAACTTTTCATTTCAAGAGAAACATTCTTGAAAAGAAAAACGTATATATGTTAATATCGTATTGATTTTCAATTGAGATTATGTCAGCGTTGTTACCGATTGAGACTTTCTGAACTGATCCGGTCCAATCGGTTCAAAAAATCTCTTAGAACAACAAAAACTGACCGATTTATTGGATCATTGTTAGCCGATTAAGGTTACTTCCTCCCTCTGCCGTGATCTAAATTTTTTTTTTCATTTTGGATTTTTTTATGGCTATTATATAGTGTGAAGTGATATCTATCTACTGAGTACATTTTTAGATCCAGAAATTGTCTTTAAACGTTAAATTATACGAGAAGAAGCCAAATTTTCGTAACGAAAATAGTGAGTCACATTTTTCTCAAAGCAACATATACTATATACTGTTTGAGATGGATACTGGTTTTTGTTTCAAAAAATATTGTTCTGGTAATTTTTGGTAGCTCTTACAAAAAAGTTTTATTCTAAAAAACATGCGCTTTTTAGGTACCTTGGATATTTTGGCTTTTTTGTTCGGAGGGTAAAAAATAAAAATATACCCACTTCAAACAATATTTCAGCTCGATCAAACATAGCATCTCGGAGAGATGGAAGCACAAATGGGGACCATAATGATCCCGATACTTCATAAAAAACAGCGTTCAGGAACTTTGAATCTATGACAACTTTTGCTCTACTCATCAAGATCTACCTGCCTTGAAAATTTGAAAATTTTCCGATACACTGTTCTCCAGAAATTTCAGAAAGTAGGAGTACCCTTAATAGGAAGGGCTTCAAAGAAAACATTCGATTTTCTTTTTGTACTCAGTTTTTACAAATCTTCAAGAAGAAATATCATCTGATAGTTCTTGAAACAATACTGTTTGATTATTTTGATAAAAGCACGCAAACTTGCTCTCAACAAGTTTTACCAGAGAAAAACAGCATGTCAATAAAATATTTTTCAACCAGTAAAAAGCGATGAAGACCTACTGAACTGATTACAACTCTGGATTATGTATTTTTGATGCATGATAAGATAATAAATGTTTTCCTATTATAATAATTCTACTTTTAATTGACTGAAGAATAAATGATATACCCTAGACATGAGATAAGATAAGCAAAAACAATGAAAAACCGATTACTATCATCATGCTTATTTATAGATATTAATGTATGACCTAGAATTCTTGATTTATTTTTCATAATAAATATTTCCATATGAATAAATGCTCTCGTAGAACTGTTTTTATATAGAAAAGCAATAATAAAACAAACTTTTCAAAATGGGTATAAATCGATCCTTCTAGCTCATTTAGTATAAAAATATCTATCATATTTAAAAACAAATTAATTATTAATAATGTACTCATGAAAAATGAAATTAAAAGCTAAGCGTGACTGAACTAATTAATTTGTATTGTGAAACTATTTTGAAATTATTTTATAATTAATTGAATATCTAATATATTAAATATAACTGGTTGCATGTATTAATTCTTCCTTTAAAACGAAAGAATCCTACTAAGAAAATAAGTAACATCCTTGATAAGTTATCCTCGTATGAAAATTCTTATCGTTTCCATTGACAATTATTCATACAGAAACAAGAAAAAAATCAAATATAAAAAAGAAGATTAGCAGCAAATTGATTAAGATGTGGTAGACTAAGAACTATCAGAACAGACAGAAAGGTTCACGAAAACAGTCAAAAAAAAATAAAATAATACATTTAAAACAAATGGTGAAAGTCAAAGACAAGTGATTTTTCGATTTACAACCTTTATTTTCCGCATAGAAAAGTAAATTTTGTTCATAAATTTATATCTTAAAACTTTCTTCAGAAGAACGACTTTTCATATTGACCTAAAAAGAACCATTTTAAATGTATATTTATGTATCCTGAATTATGTTATAAAGATTTATGATTCACGGATGTTTATATTCACATTACGTTGTTTCATATTACTTAATACGTCATCACGTTTAATATCTTGTTTCATAGTACCTAATAGATTTTGTTATTTAATCATCTATTTAAGTAGTACAAACAGGCCATAATCTTTAACATCTTGATCTAATTGTTCTAATTTGATCAAATATTAACATTATACGTATTAATATTTATTCATCATAAGCATATTTAAGTTTGTTTTAATTTTTATATTATTTATTCCATATTATACTATAAGTTTAGTTATATTTTATTACGATTATAATTTAAATATACTTATTATGAATCAAAATAAAGATGAACAAAAATATCAATACATATAATGTTAATATTTGATCAAATTAGAATAATTCGATCAAGATGTTAAAGATTATAGTCTATTAATACTCCTAAACAAAAGATTAAAGAATAATAAAATATAATAGGTACTATAGAACAAGATATTGAAGATAATGGTATATGAAGTAACATGAAACAAAGTAATACGAGTATTAATATCCATGAATCAGAAATCTCAATAATTTTAACTATTTATTAAATTGTACAAAACAACAAAAATTTATTTTTTAATTGTATTCTAAATTAAACATATTTAGTCGGTATTGTTTCATTTTTAATTGGTATATGATGCATAATTAATTTGCTTCTAAATATAAAAGATATTTCTAGGCTAACAGGTCTTTTCTTTTTTTACTAAATAAACTAAAAGGATTAAGTTATACTCATTTTGAAGAACTCGTTTTACTCTACTTTTTTTTCTATATAACGATAATTCTACGAGAACATTTATTCGTATGAAAATATGTATTATTCGAAACTAGTTAGAACTTGTATACTATCCTTTCTATATATGACTATGTTATTTTATCAGGAAAAGATTTCCTCATCAGCATCGGAGAATTTGACTAGATGTTGATAAGAATATTCATTTAGAATAAATTTAACATAATCTTCTTATCGTATATACTGTTAATATAGTGATGCGTAATTATATAATTATAGCCTTGAATATATTCTCTATGAAATGACGTATTTAGGTGATAAATCTTCGATTTGATTTATGAGAAATAATATTATATATTTAAGTAGATCATTTATCTTCGAATTCAATCTTTATTTAAGCTCTTTCTGGACATATTGACATGTAGTAATACCAGATGTATTTTTCATTAGTACATAAAAATGTAGTATTTCTATCGAAATATATATTCTCACATATGTAAACATATACTTATTAATCATTATTATCTATCATATTAAATAGTTGACAGTTACATATTTTCTATATTTAAAACTAAAAACTTTATCTTTTATTTGATACATTTAAAACAAATTAAATAAATACAATCTGAATAAATAGATATAAATTTTCTATATATAAGTAGCAATGGTTTCAGAAGCAATTTTATTAAATAATGAAAAATGTATATTTTTTTCTTTTTCTAATAAAATTTATCTCAAGAATTTTCTTGAAATATGATCATATTAAATATTTGAATCATTTAAATAAAAGATCGATTTATCATCAAATATTTCGAAAAAAAGGTCAATTTGACACATACTAAACAATCCCATATGAAATGGACCAATATGAAAAAAAAAAGTAATCATTAGAGAAATGAACGAAAGCAACCATAATTATTATTTATTATCGTTGTTGTTGTTAATTTTTTTTTGTTTTCATATTACATGACATATATGAAATATTAATAACCGTATTGGCAAAAAAAAATGGAATTATCAAGCAGCAAAAAAAACAAGAAAAAAAAACAAAATCCAAAGAAATTTATACAAAAAAAAAAAATAAATAAATAAACGCGATGTTATAAATATATACATATATACAAAAAAAAAAATTTATCCACCGGTCTTTCATTGATTATTGACTACCACTATCATCACCAGTAATAATAATCGATGGAGATTCAACTGTCAGATTATTATCTCGTCGTGTAGAAACTATTAATTGTTGATTAACTTTTAATAAAGGTGATGCTGGATCACTACTATCTTCTTCTTCATGTTGTTCTATATTATCAGAAAGATGTATAGATGGATATTGATTATGAGAATGTTTACGCAAATTTGTCTGTAAAGAACTATGATGTCGTTGTTTATTAACTGGTGATCGAGGTTGTTGTTGGGATTGTTTTTGTATACTATTTATTGATATTGTTTCTTCAAGTGTTTTTTGTCGTATTCGATGATAATGACGTTTTGGTGTTCCACGATATGAAATATCATCATTAGTATGTTTTTTTTTACCATCTAATGATGGATCATGCATAAGAAATTCATTAACAATACGATTTGTTTTTTCATCAATACTATAATCACGTATTATTGGCATTGAATAAACGGGTGCATTATGACTTAAACTAGCCATAGCTGTATCACGTACCATACTAAATTTTAGACGTGGTTTTGTTATACATGTTGGAAGAATTGAATATGTTGGTAAGACTTTTGTTTTATTTATTGTTGATGATGTTGAAGGATTAATTAATGGTGTTTGATTATCAAATGATATTGAACCACGTTGAGAACGAAATGCTTCTACTTGTGGATTAGAACTAACTGATGATGTTGTTGTAGATGGTGAACGTTGAAGAATATGACGAGAATTAATTGTATTAGTTATAGTAGGAGAAAGACGTTGTCGAATAGGACTTGAAGATGAAGTAGAAAGAAGTATACTATCAGTATTGGATGATATATGTGTATCAGATTTTGCTTCATGTGAATGTAATGCTAGTTCTTTTGTAGATGAATCTATTTAAAAAAAAAAGGTAGAAGAAAAATTATTGTTGAAAATAAATTTCTTTTGATTTACCATCTTGATTTTGTAAAATTAAATTTCTTGTATCATCAGATTTAGTTCGACGAAGATCAGGATGTCGAACTTGTAATGATGATGATGAAGATTTCGTATTTGTTTCATTAATCTAGTCAAAAATAATATGTTTTATTTTTTCGATTGAAAAGAAAATGAAAAAAAAAAAAAAGAAATGAATTTGTTTGATTTTACTTGATAAACTTTTGTTGGATATTCATCAGTTGTTATATGTGATGGAATAATATTAGATGAAGTATTTCGTTTATCTTTACTAAATTCTCGTCGTTTTTTACTTGCTGATCGAATAAATGATGATGACGATATAATTTTATGATTATCCGTATTATTATGATTTAAATATGTTTGATTTATATTTGGAAATATGGAAAGATTCATTGGATTTGGTTTATGATTTTCAACAAGTGGAATGTTTGTTGATAAACTACGTTGTTGCATCATATGGGAATTTGATAATTTCGGAGGAATAAGATTTGTTGATGCTTCTTGATAGGAATGATGTAGACCTTTCTGAAGAATTTTTGAACTACAATTTTTAAAAACAAAAAAGCAGAAAAGATTTTTTTTCAAAAATACTAATAGTTTTCGTTTTACCGGTTATTATTTGTTTGTTGTTGCTGTTGTTGTTGTTGAGCTAAATCATCATCCAAATCCTTAACATCAACACTCCTTTGTTGAATACGTGCATCACCAATATAAATAACACTTTCGATTCCATCATGTGACATCCAATCTAAACTGAATGTTCGATTTTGACTTTCTAATGATCTATAACCACTATCATCTTGATGTGGTGATTGTTGTTGTTGTTGTTCTTTTTGTTCTGGCTGTTGCTGTTGTTGTCGATAAGTAACATCAGGTAAAGCATTTTCATTTCCTGATGATTCAATTGATGTAAATTGATCATTTGGTCCTCGACTACTTGTATCTGATTGCATATCAAAATCAGTTTCAAGACTTCGTTCAAAACTTGAATTATCACTTTTAGAATTAAAATTATTTAATAAACTTGAAAAATCTATGATTGAATCTTTATTATTTTCATCATCTAAATCATTTTGATTTTTAAGTAATCGTTCTTCACGTCGATTATTTGATTGATTAATACAACTACGACGTTTTTCAAATGTACGTCGAAGAGCTTGACGACGAACTTCTGGTGGTGGTAATAAAAGATTTGATGAACTTTTACGACGATATTGATATTTTAATGGATCATCATCACCTCCACCACCACCAACTGAAATTGTACTATTATTACTATTATGAATAGGCAAAGCTCCAGCTGAATCAATTGATGTTGATAAATCTGGTGAGAATTCATCAGGAGATGTTCGATCTAATTGTTGTTGTTCAAATTCATACGAATGACGTAAACGCCAAAGATCATGTGCTGCTGTTGTTAAACCATCATAATCATTTATACTTGCTTGTTGAACAAGAGTTGCTTTACGACTTGTATTTCTTTGATATTCTTCCTAAATAAAGAAAAATAAATAAAAATTTTCAATAATAAAATCAATAACAAGAAATAATTTACTATATTTGTATTTTCTCTTCGATTTTTTAATTGAGATAATTGAGCTGCTTGAACAAGTTCAGTCATATCAGGAATTTTAATAATAATAGGTGGTGGAGCAATAGATGATATTGATGGACGATGATCATCAGCATATTCATAAGATTTTGTTCGACGATTAATAGCATCAACACGATTTGTACCAGGTCGTAAAAGATGAACAGCATCAAAACTACGAGATTGTTTATCATTTGTTGTATGATTAGATGGTGGAGATTCTTGAACTGGTGGAGGTTCTTGAACTGGTGGACATGATGATGATTGTTCAAATGATCGAGAAATTTCATGTTCTCGTTGTGCAATTGATGCACGTACTTTCGATGTTTGATCTATAAAGCAAAAACCCAAAAAAAACAAAGAGCATTTATTTACTTGTTTAATCAGTTTTTTCGTAAAATAATCTTTTTCTTTTACCTAATGGATCAATTGTTGCTGTAAGATTTTTTTTCTCAACAATAATAGAATTAGAATTTTTTCGACTTGTTGAAGGTGTAGGTGGAGATAAATGTTGAGATATTGTTGAAGTATTTGATAATGGATTACCAATTACAGAAAGACTTGATCCACGTGGTGTATAATATATTTCTTGTTGTATTGATGATGCAGGTGATGATGTTAATGGTTGTGGTTGAGAACGACAAGCAAAAGTAACATCAAAACTACTTTGACGATAAGGTGATAAGGAAGTTGCTGATGGTGATGAACGTGTATCAACATTAAGTGAATGACCTTTTTCAAGACGTGGTGTATCTGATTTTCTATGTGTTGTTAATGAAATATTTGAATTTTGTCGAACATAACAACGTGGATCAACTTGTAAATAAGCTTGTTCATCATCCATATTAGTATTTCTATAAATATGACTAAAAAAAAAAGAATTTATTTTACAAAAGTAAATTAAAAAAAACCAAAACAAAAGTATATTCTTAAATCTACATACGATTCATTTTGTTTGTTACCTATAACAAACATAAAAAAAAAATTCATTGAGTATTCATTTGATTGATTATAGAAAGGATATAGTTGGATTTATTATTTTTTTTCGACAAGAAAAGTCAATTATCGTTAATAAAAAAAACCCAGATCGATTAAGAACTGTTCCTTTGAGTTAATTTATTAAAATCTAAGATTAACATTCCGAACGGAGGAATGATCTCCTCCCTAATCTTGGAAAATCTTCGTTTTTTCACAATGAAATTGAACGATTTTCTTTTACTCACTAATCTCGTAAGAAAGAACAATTTCCTCTTCCTTCAATCTTGATGACTTCGGAACACCTCTGTTAACACTTACCAATATGTTCTCGAATCTCATGATAAGATTGATTAGGTTGTAAACTTTGACCGTTTGATGAATGATAATCTGATGTTACTTGTTTTGAACTAGGTATTTGCCGTTGATCTCTATTTAAAAAAACAAACAAAATAACAGTTCAGGTGTTTTTTTAATCATGTCATACATTCAAATTTCATCCTTAACAAAATTGAACTTTCGAGAATTACTGAAAGTGTTATAATAGGATATGAGCGGAAAGAATATTCACATTCACACTCTAAGTAATGAATTTACTAGTTAAACCAGGTTTTCGGCTATTGTCAAACCTTATGTCTTTATTGAACTTTCGCCCTTAGCAAGACTGAACTTTCGGCAATTGCCGTAGATCAACTGTAAAACTCAGTACTGCAAAATACGTATTTTCTTAATAAATTACTCGGCAATTTGATATCGATCGAGTGGATTTGATCGACGTGGTTCAAGTGGTGAACATTCTCGAATACCACGATGAATTAAACGATTTGAATCGAGTAATGACGCTTGATTTAATGTTTCGTATAAAAGTTTCATTTGTTCGGCTTCTCTACAAAAATCAAACAAATATAAGAACAAAATATTTTAATTTGAACAAACAAAAATATCATGATTTACCTCAAATTTTTTCGATTTAAACAATATTTGCATAGTAATAAAATCGAAAAAACAATGAGAAGACCACCGAGAATACCAGTTATAAGTACAATGAATGCCAGACTTCTATGATTAAAATATGTTCGAGTACCCTGAAATAGAAATGAATTATTTTTATCAAGATTTTTAATCTTGAATAATGAAGATGATGAAGAAGAAAAAAGAACAAGTCATCATTCTTCAAAATCAAAGTAAATGTAGACGTCATCTGTAACATAGAAAAAAAAAGAAAAAACTAATTAACATGAGTATACTTCTTGTCACTATGACGTCTCATCTATGGATGAATACTCACTTTCAATGTTAACAAGAAAATATTGATTCATATCTATAGATGTTTATTGTTCGATATTTGTCACAACTACTAATACCCTAGATACTTTTCATTTATCATTCTCGTCGTATTAGAATTGTTTAACAATAGACAAAACAAAAAAAACAAAAAACTTCATTTTTATACAAAATAATAATAACAATCATATCAAAAAGAAGAAAATATAGGATATTTTATTTATATACACACACGTATATCTATCATTTGAAATTAGTGCGTATAGAAAGTTAAACAAAAAGATTTCTTTAAATCGAATAACTTATCTTAAAATATAGATGTTAATAAATAATTTTATTATATACTTATAGAAAATGAATAAAAGACTTGGGTTACCATAGATATAGATTTGTCAAGACAAGCATTATACCAATGATCTCTATTCAATTTCTCATATGAATGCTATTTAAAAGCAAAGAGACCATTTTCCTGTTTCTTTCATTTTCTTTTTCTCGTCATCTTGCTTTTACATTCTATTGTTTTTCTCGAGGAGAGACTATAAGCAATGAATTTTCTTTTATATATGTCACATCATTTAATAGCAGTCAAAGTCTCATAATAGTAAGAACAACATCGGTATACATAAAATGTAATCAACAAATGACTAAGATTGGTTTCTACAATGTTACAATGCGTACAAAAGGAAAAAAAATAAGAAAGAAGAAAAGAAAAGAAAATGAAACTATTCGTTGCATCACGATTTTCATATAAAACGTTTTTTGGATTTCCTATTTTCAAAAGTATAAGCTTTATTTCGTGTGTTAAAGTAGGCACGCAACGTTGACATTCAACGATCTATTATTATGATTGCGTGCAAGACACAATTACAATTCCTCACAAGACAGATGCCACTGCTGTGTAATTACAAAGCTTGATACAAAACAAAAAAGGTTCCGACTAATAACTAAAATATATATATATATATATATATATATAAAAGACGAAGATGACGATAAAGAAGAAAAAAAATGGAACAGTGAACATGTTCTCATGAGATTCGTTTCTAATCATTCAACAAATAAATAGAAAAGTAAATAGATATATGGAGAAATAAAAATAAAACCAAAGAAAAAAGAAAATCATATTTATCTAAACCATTGAAATCATTTTTTGCTTTTTTATATTTAATGTCTTAACTAAGATTACTTAAAATGCATAAACACGAAGACGTACTAATGTAGTTCTTTCATTTTGTTTGTTTGAATACTAATAGACTAAGCGAGCAAATGACTGCTTGACGTATTTTGAATACGAAGGAAAGTGACGGAATGAGTGAGTGTGAGTGAATAAATGAGTGTTGTTGTTGTCTTTTCAATCCCAATGTCATCATTGTTGATGTCGTTGGTTTTCTCTCGTATAACTATGATGAGAATATTACACAGTAGTGAAATACTATGATATATTCAGTTTGACGTAACATGAAAAGAAAACTAAAAGTGTAGAAGCCTATGCGCGGCAATATTCAAGAAGACAAGAAATCCTCTTTCATTTTTTTTTTTGATTACAACTATACATCACCTATATTTTATGATCTTATATGCGTGACTTTTAATCAACGTGCATCTTAATCCTTTCACAACAGGTATTCCATAGGTGCGACGACGACCATGCACAAAAGAAGAAAACTGCTATGAAAGAGTTAATCAATTTTTAAAATGCTCTTTTCTATATGCTTATAATTGACAGATTTCGAAATAAAGAAAGGTCTAGGTTATTATAAAAAGCCTTCATTAGAGACAAGCAAATCAAAATAAGAACAAAAAAGAAATTCAGCATTTACTATTGTATTCATTAAAAAATTACTTATATTTTCACACATACTGAACTAAAACATAAATGTTCGATGACAATATGAATATTGATTATAGTTTACCCGATTTCCTTCGAACAGGAAATTGTCTATAAGTCTATTTAAGCATATTTGTCACTAACAATGTTCGATAACTATTTAGTTGAACATATATAAACATCGACTATTTATGATTACAATATTTCATTCATATTAGAATTCCCTTATCTCCTTCTCAATTTTCTATTGTCTTGCTTTTTTTCTGATGTGTCTAGAGACTGAATATTAAATATCTATTCTAAAGAAAAATCGTGATCGATACAAGTATGCTAGAAAAGAGGCAAAACAATTCTTTAGAGATTTTCACATAGAGGTGCAGTAAAAGTTAGTAATCCTCTATATTCACCAATAGAAAAAAAAATAAAAAACAGAAATTCTATACATAAAAACATAATAAAGTCAGTGTTAGAAGTAGTCACGTCTGTCTATCATCGATCAACAAATATAGAAATATATTAAAAAAAAAAAGAGAGAAAACAACGTATTTTACTATTAATGGAAATATTTACCAATTCTAATTAATCATTCATGTCATATGTCCAAATTCCGACAAGATAAAAGGCCTACTTATGTGTGATTATGTCAAATGCATTCTAAAAGTAAATTATCTTGTAGTCATTTAATAAAAATTTTCTAAATAATCTATTTATTTTTATTTCAATTTTTGTATTAATTAAAGATAACAAAAACAAAGAATATTAAATAAATACATACCATTTTTCTTTTGTTATATTTTTTTCAAAAAGAAAAAAAAAAATCTTTTTTTGTTTTTTTCAATTAAAACTTGAACATGTTTTTTCTTCTCTTGACTCTACTATTTCTTCTGTTATATAAAGCAAAGAATGTATGCGGAAACTTTTCAATCACAATTTTACTAATAACAATAGTAGTAAGATGTAAAAGAAAGACAAAAGAAAAGAAAAATAATAATAATAGAAAACAATCAAATTAGTAAATCAATAGTCTTTTTTTTTTTTCTTAACAAACGGTGAAAAATAAAGAAGAGAATGTTGTTTTTTTTTTGAAAGCATACTCTTTATTTTTACATACGCCGTTGATGTCGTTGTCGTTGTCGTCGTGTATATATATTCATTCTTTTTTTTTTTTCTATCTGCTTCTCTTGTCTCGATTGAGCCTTGAGCTTTGTTATGCTGGTTGATGACAAGAGAACAATGAGGACAAAAACAAAAAAAAAAAAAAAGAAGAATAAAATAATACAAGAAATAAAATATTATACTAACACTTCATGTTGCATGCATGCCACACCTCTAGCATTATTTTGATTATTATAATATATAGGAATTAGAATATATCTTGAACAAACAATAAAAAAAAGAAACAAAAAAGACTTAAGATATAAATATACATGGAAATATTTTATTTTATAATAATTATAAAGTTTTTGAGTTTAAAAAAAGCAAAGAAAAAATAGATTGCATACTTCAATATTTTTTTCTTTTTTCTTTTGTCGAAACAAATTTCGACGGAAATGATGTTGATGTGTAGGCGGTAAAGAATTACCAACTTATTTAAGATTAAGAGTAAAAATATGAAATGACAAAAATGAAAGATGGACAGAAGGAAATAGAATGTCATCTATATTCTTACAATTAAAATCCATTAACTTTTCTTAACATATATACATATTAATTGCATAAATTGACATAGTGAATTATGTTCATCTTTTTTCTTTGATATTAATTTGAATTCTTGTTTCATTATTATTTTATTGAATAGAACAATTGATAATGAGAAAAAGTTATCTATTTAACTATCAATATTAGATTATTTTAAAAGCTAAGAAAAGATATATTGTTGATTTAAGATGTTTTTTATTATGATACATTAAATGATCATTGAATTGTATCATAACAATTCACTATTATTGTTTATGATAGAGATCTTAATGACATAGTTTTACTTTTGTTTCATATAGCGCTTTTTCTAGGTATCAACAATCTGACAAGAATTAATTGTTATTTTGTCAGCAATAGAGTAACTATGAATATGTACATCTCATTGGATCAAACTGGAAGAAGATGCCAGTTTTGATGCTGTTGTCGATGCTTACGAGTAGAAGGAGGAGGAGATATAATGTATTCTCTTCTGTTCGACGGATATCATCCTGTAAACAATATGAAGAGAAGAAGAAACAAAAAAATCTTGTACATAGTACTGCAGAAATTATTATTCATCTATGTCTTTTGCTCTTATCCTTTTGCATATTTCTCTCTATGTATATGTCAAAGATTGCCTGTGAACAATTATATCTCTTCTCTTCCTTCTTTTTTTTGCTTTAGTCGTTGTTTTTTTTGTCGTCCAATCTTATATAAGTCGATATATCTAAAAGAAAAAAAAATATGCTGCATTTTTGATTCATCAACAACAAAGAATAGTTAACTATCATCACCATCATTATCATCAACAACAACAACAACAACAACGACAACGACAAGAAAATAGGTTCTTCTATACTGATTAGATAAAACCAACCAAGGTCAAAATAAACTCATTACCAACATTATTAATGCCATTTGGTAAGTTTAATTTTTTTTGTTGTCAAATAAATAGGCTTGTAAAAATAGAAAACTCATTTAATATGCTAAGTATTTCTTTAATTTGTGTTGTCAAATTGAGAAATTCTTTGTAAATTATGCAACACTATGAAAAGATCAAAAAATGAGTACATGTGCTTGTCGATCATTGTCAGACTAATGAACAAATAAATGAATACAGAAGCATAATATCATCATTCTACAATGACCTTCGAACATTTTTCTACAGTGTTGATTTAGTACAGCTAGAGTTGTGATTGATGATATATTATGTTTCCTTGTTTTTTCTTTCCTTTTTTTTTCCTTTCTTCACCGTATGTATATCGTAATATTCGGGAATTTTCTGTTGATGATGTATATGTACAATGCACGTGCTGCGCAAACTTACCGGTTGCTTATCGTCGATAAATTGTAATAATGATGAGTCTTCGAAACAAGAAGAAAATATCTCTTTAACAGCTAGTACATTGTCTCGATTATCTCCGATTGAAGATACTACAATAAAAACGGCAATAATCAACAAGGTCAATTCTTCACTAGAGCCTCGAGAAATCAAACAAGCAATTATATTAAGAGAGAAGTAAGTTATAGAAAAGATAACCTTTGTATATCGTTCGAGAGAATGATTATTAAACAGACAAATAATCGCTAAGTAGTGTGGTTTTGATCATTTGATTGAGTTGAACAACGAATGACATTGAGTACCAATGGAAAAAAAACTATTGCACTAATTCATATATATATATGCATATATGTATTATGTAATAAGGCAAAGTATTAGAAAAAGAAAACGAAGAAACACAGTTATCATTGAAAGAAATGATGATTAATACTAAGTTGAGTTATTTTAGAAATGTTAAATTATAGTTTGACGTTTATATCAAGGATTCTATTTATAAGTTATATATTGTTATTTATTTATTTATTTTATATTAAATGTAAATCAAATTTTAAATTTTGGGTATTGATCATCTTCAACTTTGAAAGATTTTGTTGTTTACGATAAAAACTGAAAAAAATTCTACAAGGTCTCTGGGTATTTTCTTACTACAATCATGTTATCTTTTTCGCTGAAAGATATGTACGGTTTTCTTTTTCTTTTATCACATATAAGGATCTTGATGTTTATAAGACAAACAAATCTCTTGTTTTCTGAGGCCATAAGTTTAGTAATTTTTGAGATTATATCTAAAAATCATATCTTCATTTTTAATTTAAATGATACTAATTTATCTGATTTCTATCATAGATTGTTAACTAAATAAAGGAAAAGAAAAATCATTGAAGTATTTTAAAAGAATATGATTGTTCTATTTAGTATATTATATTTTTCTCTTATTCATTCATTGAATAAAATATCTTAGTAAATCTAAGAAATATATAAGAATAAATTCAATCAAAATTATTATTATTCAAATTAAAAGAATTAACAGATATTTTTATTAAATTAAAATCATTGTTACGATTTTAAAAAACTAAATAGAAAACGGACACATAATATTTCATAACTTCTAAATTTCTATGAAAAATAATTAAATCTTGACAAAAAGCTTTAACTTTTGTAGATATTTCTCGCTCATTTATTGAAAATCTAAATTTAATTTAATTTAATATTTAACAAAACAAAAATCTTTTAGATCCTTATAAAATATTCCCGGATTAGAGCATATCTTCATTTCGAATGATTTATTACTTAACTTACAGTAGCTATGTGAAATAAATACTTTTCATATATAAATAATCTGCTTGGTATGAGGTACTTTCTCAAATTTTATAAGACAGATACTTGAAATTTTGATCGACTGTTAATTAATTATTTTAAAAAGAAGTTTTTATTAACAAACAATAATATTCTGTACTCGGATATGTTAGAAGAATTTTTCTTTTAATAAAACTTACAATTTTTCTGTTTTGTATCTCGGAAAAAATAATTTCTGTTTCGTCAATATTGAAAGTTGTCGATATAGACACAAAGTAATAATATTATCCCTCGAGACTCTTATGTTAAGTTCTCATATAAATTGCGTCGAATAATGCATAGAATATTTCATTTCTTCCTTGCCTATATGGTTCTCTCGAGTGTGGGCGCGTATTTTTCTTTTTATCCACTAGTTAGATCATGGGATACGATAACAAAATCTGTCATCTCAAATAATGTGCGTGTGGGTATGTGGACGCTAGCAACTATAAGAAAAAAATACGTCATATACATATGACGTATGTATATTGCTATATTACTATGTGTAAAGCGTACGAGAAAGCAACAGAAAAGAAATTCTAAGATGGCTAGCACAAAGCAGAAAATAGATCGATGGTCTTCATCAGAAAAAACAACGTTAAACGTTACACAACCGAGAAATAGTCGAACACCAACGATCGATCTAAGTGCAATATCGTCAATGTCCACTAGCAATGATTCTAATGAAAATCAGTAAGTGAATAATAATTATATATTATTTTGGTATAATTATAATGAAAAAGAAACAACTTAAACGTAACTTGATAAGCAAAAAAAGATTTCTCGATAACAGAAATTTACTATATGTATACTTATTATTTTTCATTGATTTTATTCAACGATAAATATTTATAATTATATTTTCTAATCAATATTGATCAGTTTTTTTTTTCTAATAGAATATCATTTTTTCTTAGCTTCATCACGCAAAAAAAATATCAATACTATCTATTCTGTTTTATGCTTCATATAAAAAAACCTTGGAAACGTATGATAGAAAATATATGTTTGTATTTTATGTGTAGAAAAATCTTTGTCGTTATTCTTGCCCTGTACAAACTGTATTGTAGAATCATTCCTTATTTCCGGGCTGCACTCGTCGCTAACTCACCGAATGATTACTAACGATTTCTAATAACAACACACACGCACATACAGACACACTCTCATCTCATCATATGTCAAATAAATAAGGATGGAGGCATTATCATAGGACCTATATGCGAATAAAAAAAAAACCGAGGAGGCCGTCAACTCAAGTAAACGAGACAGCAAGAAGAAGAGAATAATGCGATGATGCGAGTAAAGCAATAGAAAGATAAAGGCTATGTTTTCTATTGCCGTCAGAACAAAAATACATATAAATATCGACAAAACTATGCATATGTTGATGATCTATTTAGAAGCTTAATTAATATAAAATC